ATTTTAGTTCTTTTAGTGAGGCCATTTTGGTGGCAAGTTCTGTTTTTGTTCATCAGAAAATATCCTTATTTCACAATCATTCTCAGATAATATATAGTAGTATCAAAAAATTTTTAATTATATAATACATCATTTTACAGTGAAAAACTGGAATATCTTATATTTCCAAAGCAAGTGATAAAGTAAGCATGACTATATATGTTTTTTTGAGTTGGAGTCTCACTCTGTTGCCCAGGCTGGAGTGCAATGGCATGCTTACAGCTACTACTACTCAGGCGATCCTTCTGCCTCAGCCTTCTAAGTAGCTGGAACTACAGGCACACGCTACCACGCCTGGCTTATTTTTTTATTTATTGTAGAGACAAGGTTTCGCCAAGTTGCCCAGGCTGGTTTTGAACCCCTGAGCTAAGGCAATCCTCTGGTCTCGGACTTCCAAAATGCTGGGATTAGAGGCTTGAGCCACCATGCCTGGCCTAGCACTACTGTCTTAATTTTGTGTAGCATTTATTTATTTGAGTTGCCGTCTCACTCTGTCACCCAGGCTGGAGTGCAGTTGGCACACTCACAGTCACCACAGCCTCGACCTGCTGGGTTCAGGTGATCCTTCTGCCTCAGGCTTCCAAGTAGCTGGAACTACAGGCACACACCACCCACGCCGGGCTACTTTTTTTTTATTTACTGTAGAGACGAAGTCTTGTCAAATTGCCCAGGCTGGTCTCAAACCTGTGGGCTCAGGCAGTCCTCTCACCTTGGCCTCCCAAAGTGCTGGAATTATAGGCGTGAGCCAGTGTGCCTGGCCATGTAGCATTTATTAAATGAATGTCTGAACCATCTTTTGCATGCATTTTTTTTACTAGATTCTCACAGTGACCCTGAGAATAAAAGTATTTTATTATCTCCACTTTTCTTTTGCAGGTAAATAAAATAAACAAACGGGATAAATATTCTAAGAGTTATAATCACTCACTTCCATCATTCTTTTCATTATTGGCATTCCTGATGTCTGCTATCTATGTAACTTATGATGTACCATTTCTATCTTTTTCTCTTTAAGTCTGTTTTGTTTTTTTTTTCCTTGAGTTGGAGTCTCACTCTGTCGCCCAGACTGGAGTGCAGTGGCCGCTCCTGGCCACCGCACCCTCGACCTGCTGAACTTCGGCGATCCTTCCACCTCAGCCTTCCAAGTAGCCGGAATTACAAGCATGCGCTACCACACCTGGCTGATTTTTGGATTTAATGTGAGATGAGGTCTCTCGAACCCACGGGCTCAGGCAATCCACTCACCTCAGCCTCCCAAAGCACAGGATTACAGGCTGAGCCACCGAGCCCAACTTTGGCCTAAGTCTGTTTTTTTAACAAGTATTAAAATTCCTATATGTTCACAAAATCCCATTAGTATAACTTTTAGTACAAAAAAATTTTTTATTAACCAGCATTCTTAATTCCTTCCAACATGTCAGATAAATCTTTTTAAGATAACTAAGTCTTTGGTCTGACACATTAATATATAATTGATAACTTAAGTTAATATAAAAATTCATTATTTTTTAATCATTCTCCTGAAGAGTAAGTTATAAATCTGTGAATAACAGTCCATTAAATTAACACTTAATTTACATTAAGGATAAATGGAAAATCCCACCATATTCAAAGAGTTGTTAAGTTTTTCATATATACTTGTCACATACATACTTTACAGAGTTCGAAAAGGAGGGTAAGGTCAGGTGAGGTGGCTCATGCCTGTAATGCCAGCACTTTAGGAGCCTGAGGTGGGAGGACTGCTTGAGCCTAAGAGTTCGAGGCCAGCCTGGGCAACATAGCAAAACATCTCTACCAAAAAAAAAAATTTAATTAGTGGGGTGTGGTGGCACACGCCTGTAGTTCCAGCTACTCGGGAGGCTGAGGTGGAAGGATCACCTGAGTCCAGGAGGTGGAGGTTCTGGTGAGCCATGACTGTACCATTGCACTCCAGCCTGGATGACACAGTGAAACCCTAACTCAAAAAAAAAGAGAGAAAAAAAGCAGAGAAACTAAGCTAAAAGTCTGAGTACTCTAGAGTACAGCAGCAGATTCTGAATTTTACTGATCACATACACTGATGGGGCAAAATTAGCATATTTCTCAACTTATAAATATTTATAAATTGCTTATCTGTAACATGTATTGCATGTAAAACATACAAAAATAAAACTCAGCAAGGTATAAACTATGGAGAAAATATGTTGAAAACATTTTTTTTTGGTCAGTTTCACTTTGTTACTCAGGCTAGAGTGCAATGGCACGCTCACGGCCACCGCAGCCTTGACCGGCTAGGCTCCTCAGCCCCAGCCTTTCAAGTAGCCGGAACTACAGGCATGCGCCACCACATCTGGCTAATTTTAAAAATTTAATGTAGAGACACGATCTCGTCAAGTTGCTCAGGCTGGGCTCAGGCTGGGCTCAGGCAATCCTCTCATCTCCACCTCACAAAGTGCTAGGATCACAGGCATGAGCCACCACACCTGGCTGAAACATATTAACGGTAGCATACTATTTAGTGAGAGCAGATAGATGTGTGGTATGATGGCAGTATGATCCCATATAACCTGGTTGCCAATTAGACTGCCATTGCTGACAATGTTATAATGTGCCTGAAGGGCAAATAGTGCAGAAGGACTGTTAGTCTGATGTCCTTTTATTTTCTGTTCACAGTTGGCTTATCCTCAACTCTCAGTAAGAGTAGTTCCTAGACAGGCCTTGCTTCTGAGGGAGATGATCCTGAGGCTCCCTGAGAAAGTGGGGAAAAAGAAAGTGAGAGATGGAAGAGAGGAAGGTAATAACCTTGTATTAAAGAACAAACTATTGCCACCACGCCTGGCTAATTTTTTATTTTTTGAGAGATAAGTTCTTGCCAAGTTGCCCAATCTGGTCTCAAACCCCTGGGCTCAGGCAATCCTCTCGCCTCAGTCTCCCAAAGTGCTGGAATTATAGGTGTAAGTCACTGTACCCAGGGGTAGGGTTTTTAAAAAGCCCTTTAAAAGAAACTGTTACATATGTGAATTTACAGTTTAATAGTTTTAACTGACTAGGTAACAAGTAAATGAACAAATTCATGAGAACACTATTGTCTCTTCTCCTTTTCCCACAGAGAAACTAAGATACTTATGTGGCAAATGACATTCAAACATACAGATTATGCCGGGGCGGTGGCTCACGCCTATAATTCCAGCACTTTGGGAGGCCAAGGTGAAAAGACTGCCTGAATCCATGGGTTGGAGACCAGTTTGGGCAACATGGCGAGACCTCATCTCTACAATAAATAAAACAAAACAAAACAGACCCAAAAAAACCAAACAGATTAAAAGAGATTGCTGAGGTTAGTCTGAATATCAAATATTAAATTAGCCAGGCATGGTATCTCACACCTGTAATCCCAGCACTTTGGGAGGTGGAGACAAGAGGACCACCTGAGCCTACAGGATCGAGACCAGCCTGGACAACATAGAGACCTCATCTCTACAATAAATAAAAAAATTTGCTTGGTGTGATAGTGTGTGCCTGTGGTTCCAGCTACTTGGAAGGCTGGGGTGGAAGGATCACCTGAGTCCAGGAGTTGGGGCTAAGGTGGCCGTGAACGTGCCACTGCACTGCAACCTAGGTGATAGAGTGAGACCCTGACAAAAAAAAAAGGATGTAACTTAATGTTTTCTTGATGAAAACGTGTAAACAGAATTTCTAAAAGTTTCTTCCTCTACCATGATGCCGCCTTATATACCCCTTGAGGCACATGCACCTCGCTATGGCAACACCAGCCAAAGATGCCTAGCCGTGTCCAGCTCTCAGTTAGAAATAACTCAATCCAAGTCACTGTATGTGTGATTATTCTTTTTTTTTTTTTTTTTGAGTTGGAGTCTCATTCTGTCACCCAGGCTGGAGTGCAGTAGCATGCTCACAGCCACCGCAGCCTCGACCTGCTGGGTTCAGGTGATCCTTCCACCTCAGCCTTCCAAGTAGCTGAACTACAGGCATGTGCCACCACACCTGGCTAATTTTTTGATTTATTGGAGAGATGAGGTCTCACCAAGTTGTCCAGGCTGGTCTCGAACCTGTAGGCTCAGGCAATCGTCTCACCTAAGCCTCCCAAAGTGCTGGGATTATATAGGCGTGAGCTACCACGCCCGGCCCTAACATACAGTTTTAAGACAGTTTCAGTATTTGTCTATCACAAAGAGGAGAACACTTCAAAATGAACTTCATAGAGTTTCTCGAATGGGTATGTTATTTTTCTGTGTTTTTAAGATTATACAGAGACCCAAACATAATGCAATTCCATCTTGGAATACAGCATAACTCAAATTCAAATGCTCAAACATTCCATAGTTTTTGGTGTAAAGGGCATATTGTTAGACAGAACTGTGTTTTCATCCCTTATACAGTAATAACAGCTCTACTGAAACATTTTACAAAGTCCCAGGGAGTTATATGAGAGGTTAGAAATGCAATTAAACTTTTCTAAACAAATTAATTACTTAACTGAATTATAAAAATGTGACACAGGTTGGGTGCAATGGCTCACGCCTGTAATCCCAGCACTTTGGAAGGTAGAGGCAAGAGGATTGCCTCTGAGCCCAGGATTGTTGAGAACAATCTACAATAAATTAAAAAAGTAGCTGGGCATGGTGGCGTACGCCTGTGGTTCCAGCTACACAAAGGCTGAGATGGAAGGATTCCCCTGAGCCCAGAAAGTCAAGGCTGCAGTGGCTGTGACTAGGCGGCAGAGTGAGACTTTGACTTGAAAAAAGAAAAAAAAGTGACACAAAGTTATAGAAGTCCATTTTATTTAGGCTTAAATAGGTATATATTATTTATATGGTTTTTGAACATGTTTAATATAAAGTTTAATTGTGAATATTACTTTTACTTATCTTCAATGGCCTAGAAAGAGAATAGTCTGAAGTTTTGCTCCAGTACTTTAAGAAATCCATTCTATGTAGAGATACTGTTATGCTAATTCCCCTAGAGTTTAAAAATGTTGGTGCACTCCAGTCTGGGCGACAGAGTGAGACTCCGACTGGAAAAAAAAAAAATGTTGCAATCAGAACACTTCGGCTTAAGGAAAACGTTTAAGACTTGCATAATATCCTGCAAAACCCTGTTTTATGATACATATCAACAAAACTCAAGCCCACTTTCTCTAATAATAAAAAAGTGTTTTTTAAAACTGTTATTTTTTAAATGACGTGAAACTAATGAAAACTGGATGCTGCTTTTGGAATCATCTTGTTTGGAGAAAAATATTCTGTGCTTTACCACTTGTTGCCATGCCTTACAGAGATAGGGTCTGTAGTCTACATCCATGTCGCACGGATATCTAAGAGCATAAGGGGGTTCTTCTGGTGAATGTGAGGTTTTCTGCATTATAGTTTGTGTTGTTGCAAAAAGAACCAAGCGATACTCCTTCACAAGTTTCTCTAATAGCTGAGAACACTTCTTCAGAGTAGACTCCTGTAAGTTAACACTTTCTCCTCCATTGGCACGGTCTAACCAGTAAAAAGCAGACAGGCCATCCAAAATCACGAGGCAGAGAGAAGGATGACCACAAAACATAGTTTCTAGTGAATAAAGTGTGAGAAGTAAGTGGGTGCTACTACTGCAGTACACCAAAAAAAATCTTCCAAGGCAATATTTTATGATTTCTTCAGAGCTTTGGGATAGTCTATGCTCAAGAATTGTAACAAGCCGAAGCATATCGAAGTGATAATCTGTATCAATAAACAAGACTTCTACTTCCAGGCCACCTTCCGATTTTGGAAGTATACATCGTGCTGTTAAATGATAAAGCATTTCTGTTTTTCCTGTCCCTTCTGGACCATGAAATTCAAGAATATCACCTGTGTGAAATTAAATGTCAGTCAAAGTACAGCAGTTCAACAATAGGTTACAAAATGAAAATCCTTATACCTAACCCTGAATTGTACCCCACATCTTTTAAATAAATAAATAGAAAGGAAAAAAAAAAAGAAAAATCTGCAAAAAAGTTAACAAAGACATTTACAGGAATGTGAAAGAAAATATAAATTCACTTGGCCAAAATGGATCTGTATAAGCAAATACAAATAAATTAAAAACAAATAATCACATTTTGCCTCTGAGAAAGAAGTTGGCTATTAAATTAGCCTCAAGAAAAATTTTTTTTTTTTTTTTTTTTGAGTTGGAGTCTCACTCTGTCACCCAGACTGGACCTGCTGGGCTCCGGCAATCCTTCCGCCTCAGCCTTCCGAGTAGCCGGAATTACAGGCATGCGCTACCACGCCCGGCTGATTTTTTGATTTATTATAGAGATGAGGTCTCGTTGCCCAGGCGGGTCTCAAACCCATGGGCTCAGGCAATCCACTCACCTCAGCCTCCCAAAGGCGCGGGATTACAGGCTGAGCCACCGAGCCCGGCTAAAAAAATTTTTTTAAAAGAGTGATATGGTTGAAGGGAGTCCAAGGGAGTCTCCTTGGGATGGGTCCACATGCACTCTGAAGTGGGTGATGTTGGAAAGTGAAGAACAAAGTGCCGCCAAGGTCTAGGGTCTCTCAAAATCTTATTAATATGGTACACCAGATGCATTCTCTCCCTCTTCCTAATTTGAGGGGGAAGGCAATGTGCCTACCTTCAAAACCATTTTTCTTATCTGTAGTCGGTGAGATAATGCCTGCTGGAAACTTCTTTTTTTGATTTGGAGTCTCACTTTGTCACCCAGGCTGGAGGGCAATGGCACGTTCCCATCTACATCTACCACAGCCTCGACCTGCTGGGCTCAGGTAATCCTTCCGCCTCAGCCTTCCAAGCAGCTGGAACTAAAGACATGCGCCGCCATGCCCGGCTAATTTTTAAAAATTTATTGTAGATATGAGGTCTTGCCAAGTTGCCCAGGTTGGTCTCCAACCCATGGGCTCAGGCAATCCTCTCACCTTGGCCTTCCAAAGTGCTGGGATTATAGGGGTGAGCCACTGTGCCTGGCCCTGCTGGAAACTTCTACACTTTGTTTTCCAATATAGGGGCCACTTCTGCCCTGTCACTCCCATTTCTGGGGTGAAGCAGCTATCGAGAAACAACGAGGATGAAAGGCAGAATGGCGGAGCAGGGAGACAGAGGCACTCAGATCTTGGATAACAATGGAACCCCATACCAGCCATTACACCCTGCCTCTATACATTGAGGATGTGAGGAAAATAAACCTCTACCTGAGTAAATCACCAAGTTGGACTTCTATTACATGCAGTTGAAAGCAATCCTAATTAAGATTTCTCAGGCCAGGTGCAGTGGTTTAGCCTGTAATCCCAGCACTTCGGGAGGCTGAGGCAAGAGGATTACTTGAGGCCAGGGGATCAAGGCCAGCCTGGGCAACATAGCAAGACTCTGTTTCTCCAAAAATTAAAAAAAAATTAGCCAGGTGTGGTGGTGTGTGCCTGTAGTCCTAGCTAGCTACTCAAGAGGCTGAAAAGGGAGGACTGCCTAAGCCTAGGAGGTCAAGGCTGCCATGAGCCATGAATGTGTCACTGCACTCCAGCTTAGGTGACAGATTAAGATTCAACTCAGAAAAAAAAAAAAAAAGCAGATGCTTAGGCTCCAACTAATTACAGTCTATATAAAAATTCAATTACTTTATTTCCTGTTATTACTAACAAATCACTGTATATTGGAGTACACACAAATAATGTATAAGAAATCTAGCAAGTTACCATCATGTCATACTATTTATTAGTTAGTATATAAAACTTCAGCCAATTTTCACTATAATCTCACATACAATTTGTGATTCTAAATTTATGTTAAAAGAATTTTTAAAAATGATTTCAGTCTCAAAGAGTAAAACTATTTTCATATTAACAATTGTTCATCAGTACTTTGTGTGTGTGTGTGTGTGTGTGTGTGTGTGTGTGTGTGTAAAATTAGGGCATTTGGGCTGGGTACAGTGGTTCACGTCTTTAATCCCAGCACTTTGGGAGGCCAAGGTGAGTGAATTGCCTGAGCCCACAGGTTCGAAACCAGCCTGAGAAACTTGGCGAGACCTCATCTCTAAAATAAATCAAATAAATTAGCCAGGTGTGGTGGCGCATGCCTGTAGTTCCATCTACTTAGAAGACTGAGGCAGAAGGATCACCTGAGCCCAGCAGGTTGAGGTTGTGGTGGCTGTGAGTGTGCCACTGCACTTCAGCCTGGGCAACAAAGTGAGACTCTGACTTAAACAAATAAGATAAAATAATAAAACAAAATATAAAAATTTATTTAAAAAATCATCTAAAAAAAAAGTTAACAGTGACTAAACCTATATTTACCCTAGATGTTCAGTATACACTCTCCTACCAAGGAGCTAAGCCGAACCCTCCAAAAGTCTTTTACTGCCCTATATTATTCATTTATTCATTATTTTTGAGTCAGAATCTCATCTGTTGTCCAGGCAGGAGTGCGGTGGCATGCTGTTCATGGCTACTGCAGCCTTGACCTGCTGGCATCAGGCGATCCTTCTGCCTCAAACTTCCAAGTAGCTGGAGCTACAAGTATGTGCCACCACACCCTGCTAAGTTTTTAATTTACTGTGGTGACGAGTTCTTAACAAGTTGCCCAGACTGGTCCCCAACCCCAGGAATCAGGCAATCTGCTCCCCTCGGCTACTCAAAATGCTGGGATTATGCATTTGAGCCACAGCGCCCGTCTGCCCCATGTTATTAAAAGAGAATAAACTGCATGCATTAGATGAAGAAACCTTAACACAGAACCAATTTTTTTTCTCACTCTGTTGCCCAGGGTGGAGTGTCATGGTGTGATCATAGCTCACTGCAGCTTTGAAATCCTGGGATCATGCAATCCTCCCACCAACCTTCACCTCCCAAGTAGCTAAGATGACAGATGACATGCAACCATGACTGGCTAGTTTTTTCTTTCTTTCTTTTTCTTAATTGTTTGTGAAGATAAATTCCTGGCCTCAAATGATCCTCTCGCCTCAGTCTCCCAAAGCACTAGGATTATGGGGGTAAACTACCATGCTAAGCCCAAAATAATATTAATTTTTCTTTTATTTTTTAGAGTCAGTTGCCTAGGCTGTAGTGCAATGGCATGCTCATCGCTACTGCAGCCTCAACCTGCTGGGCTCAGACGATCCTTCCACTTCAGCCTTCCAAGTAGCTGGAACTACAGGCACACACCACCATGCCCGGATCATTATTTGATTTATTGTAGAGACACGGTCTCGCCAAGTTGCCCAGGCTGGTCTTGAACCCGTGGGCTCAGGCAATCCTCTCGTCTCATCCTCCCAAACTGCTGGGTTTACAGGCTTGAGCCACAGGCCAAACAATATTAATGTTAATGAGGGAAAGTTGAAAACAGATTAGAACAATTAATCCCAAAGTGGTCTGTTGGAAACTATGGTCTATGCAGAAGCACGAGATGGGGAACCAAAGAGCAGATGGCACCAAGTCCTCCCTCTCCTGTCCCCAGGAAAATAACCAGAAGAGGCAGCTCCACAGCCACTGCCTTACTAGCAAATTTATGCCAGAGAAGAACCTTCTTCACCCAAGTCTCCTTTGACCCTGACAGCACTCTGAGGTAGAAGTAGCCTTTACCACCACCCAGCATCATGTTTATCACACTGTATAATCACTGACAATTTACTTGTTTCCTGACTTTCTGACCCCAGCAAAAAACAGTGTTTTTTGAATGTACTTTTTCAGATTACTTTCTTCTCAAAAATCCTCTTGAGATTGGCCTGGTGTCTCACGCCTATAATCCTAGCACTTTGGGAGGCTGAGGTGAGAGGATTGCCTCAGTCTGCAGGTTTGAGATCAGACTGGGCAACTTGGTGAGATCTCATCTCTACAGTAAATAAAAAAATTAGCTGGGCATGGTGGCACATGCCTGTAGTTCTAGCTACTTGAAAGCTGAGATGGAAGGATAGCCTGAGCCCAGCAGGTAGAGGCTGTGGTGGCTGGGAGCGGCCACTGCACTCCAGTCTGAGTGACAGAGACTCCAACTCAAAAAAAAAAAAAAAAAAGAAAAGAATCTCTAATACTATTGTAAACATATTTTTAATGCTTTTTTGGATCATAGTTATTGAGTACCATATCTCAATCCGTTACGTCTTCAGTACTATAATGATTATAATCTGCAAATCCAACATATTGGTTATATAGTTAGTAAGTTTGGTACCAAACGATGTATTTTTTGGCTTTGTCTTTCTTTTCCTTATTTCGAATGATCTTTAGATTCTTAAGCTCTTTCTGACAATCTGTTACCCAAACTCCTTTCAGCACTCTATTTGTAAGAGTAACTATCAAGGCCAAACCAGATTTTCTGATTTTGTTTAATACCTTAAAGTGCCAAAACATAGGATTTTTTTTTTTTTTTTGAGTCAGAATCTCACTCTGTCGCCCAGGCTGGAGGGCAGTGAGTGGCAAGCTCACGGTCACCACAGCCTCGACCTGCTGGGCTCTGGCAATCCTTCCACCTCAGCCTTCCAAGTAGCTGGAACTACAGGCACATGCTACCACACCCTGCTAATTTTTTGGTTTGTTGTAGAACGAGATCTCTCCAAGTTGCCTGGGCTGGTCTCGAACCCACAGGTTCAAACAATTCACTTGCCTAGGCCTCCCAAAGTGCTGGGATTACAGGGTGAGCCACTGAGTCTGGCCCTGAAGTAGTCAAATTTCTATCCATGCTGGTCAGGCGTGGTGGCTCAGTCTATAATCCCAGCACATTGGGAGGCCAAGGTGAGAGGATAGCCTGAGCCGTGGGTGTGGGTGGGGATGGGGTGTTGGTTTGAGACCAGTCCGGGCAACTTGGTGAGACCTCATCACTATAATATATCACAAAAAAACTACCTGGGCGTGGTGGCGTGCATCTGTAGTTCTGGCTACCCAGAAAGATAAGGTGAAAGGATCACCTGAGCCCAGCGGGTGGAGGCTGTGGTAGCCATGAATGTGCCACTGACCTCCAGACTGGGTGACAAGAGTGAGACTTCAACTCAAAAAAAAAAAAAAAAATGTCTATCCATGCTGTTACTTTGAAAGAGGTGAATGCTGAATGCCCCTCTAGTGTCTGTTTTTGTTTTGTTTTTTGAGTCGGAGTCTCACTCTGTCACCCAAGCTGGAGTGCAGTGGCACGCTCACGGCCATCGCAGCCTCAACCTGCCACCACGCCCAGCTAATGTTTTTTATTTATTTATTGTTGAGATGAGATCTTGCCAAGTTGCCCAGGCTAGTCTTGAACCCCTAGACTCAGGTAGTCCTCTCGCTTCCACCTTCCAAAGTGCTGGAATTACAGGCATGAGCCACCATGCCTGGCAACCTCAATTTTTTAAGGTTCACCTTAACAATATCCTTCACTATAGAGAAATACAAAGACAGTTCAGTTTTTTGTCTAACATATTTGATCAAAATTTGTCTTTTATTTTTGATAGTTTTGACTAGAAAATCTGGCATACAAAAAATACTAAAGGAAGTCCTTCAAGCTGAATGAAAGGACAGTGGACAGTAACTCAAATCCAAATGAGGAAATAAAGAACCCAGGTAAGCCAGGCTCGGTGGCTCAGCCTGTAATTCCGTGCCTTTGGGAGGCTGAGGTGAGTGGATTGCCTGAGCCTGCGGGTTCGAGACCCA